TCTTCTTTAGGGGGGGGGGGTTCTTCAGTTTTAGTAAGAGTTTTATGGCACTTGCAACACAATGAGGTCAAGTTACAAGAGAGTAACAAACACCAAAAAAAAAAACCCCAAAAAAAAAGGATAAGAGATCACGACGAACGATGTTTGATAGGAAAGAAGGAGCACACCACATCAGAGCACCCGCCAACCTCCCACGTCGAGCACCTTACACACACTCTGGTGTTTTCCTCCTTCTTTCCTGTCAAGCATCAATCATCCTAATGTCTCCCCTCCTTCTTTTTTGTGTATGTTACTCTCTTGAAACCCCTCTAATCTTCGCTCTTATATGACCTTATTGTGTGGCAAGTGCCGTAAAACTCTTACTAAAACTATACTAAGGTGCTTGTCATCATCATTATCATCATCGTCGTCGTCGTCTTCGTCAATACCACCACCACCATCATCACCACCACCATCACCATCACCACCATCACCACCATCACCACCATCACCACCACCTCTACCATCACCACCACCATCACCATCACCACAATCACCACCACCACCATCACTACTACCATCATTACCATCACCATCACCACCACTACAACAGCAATCACCATAATCAACAATATTTTAAAAATAATAATAATAAATAAATAAATAAATAAATAAATAAATGAATAAGTAAATAAGTAAATAAATAAATAAATAAATAAATGAATAAAATAAATAAATAAATAAATAAATAAATAACGAAATAAATACATAATAAAATAATGGAATAAATAAATAAATAGAATGAAACAAAACTAATTGAATACCGAGAAGGCCTGACACCAGTGTGGTGGTGTTTTATTTCGAAAGACCACAAAAGACGAAACCAACACATTGACAAGAAATAGGATCGATACCACCACAACTTTGGTAAAAATGAATACAACATCCTGGTTGCTTGTTGTCAGCTGATGTCATGATAACCCTTCCAGCCCTATGCGCGTATATTTTCAGCTGCGCTTGTACCTCCCACCCTCCCAAGAGCGTATATTCTCAGTTTCTGGGGGTACCGAATTTGTGCATTTTTCGAAATTAATGAACCTAATTTAACTTTCATTGTCATAATATTTGTTCATTTACCGTTAAAACATTGTTTGATGTTATTATCTAAACCTCATTACAAAGATACTATGTCACTTTTTAGAATGCATGCTTCTTTTTCTGAAATGCTGCTGTTTTGGTTAGGACTGGGATTAGGATTACACAAAAATGGCTGGGGCTGGAAGGGTTAATTGAGTAATAGATAGATGTGTAGATTTATCGTTGTTGCCTTGTCCACACCAAGAACAGGTTGTTGTGATTTGGTGGTATACCTTGTTGTATCATGTTGTGACTGAGTGGTATACCTTGTATCATGTTGTATCATGTACGTGATGGTCTTGGTGATTCCTGCCTGCTAGAAGCACTTAGGAGAATAGGCACATTGTTTATTACACATTTTTGCTACAATAAAATTGATTTTGACATCAGCATGACTTCGATTTAAGTATACATTTTATCGCATCAACACTTAAACAGCAACACGGAAACCTGTACAGTCTTACTTTAAAAAAACAACAACGTTTTCCTTCCTCTGGTATCCTTAGGATGTCGAGGGGAGGTGCAGGTTTCGGTCCTGTGCTAGGTGTGTAGCGTTTGTGATGGATATGTTATGTTGTTCCAGGACCTTTTTAACCCCATCCAGCCAGGTCTTTCTTGGTCTTCCTCTTGATTTGAAGCCGGATTCACGGGTGTTGTAAGCTCTAGCCGCTAGTTGTTTCTGTGGCATTCTGGTTAGATGTCCAAACCATTTGACTCTTTGACGCTCTATGAATTTTATTACTGCTGGTATTCCCGTTTGTAGACGTATGGTTTTGTTTCTTATGCGGTCTCTTCTGGTGACGTTGATGGTTTTGAGGAGACACCTCATTTCGCACGCATTGCTTTTTCTTTCTTGTGCCTTGTTTAGAGACCATTTTTTGGCACTGGTATGTTAAAGTTGGTATGAAGATGCTATTGATGAGCTGTGATTTCACTTCGGTTGGGGTATTCTTGTGTTTTGTAGAATACACGAGTTGTGTTGTTACTCGCACTACTAATCTCTTCTTTGGGGGCTCTCGTGGCATAGAGGTTAAGGTGTTCGTCTCTCATTCAAAGGTCCCAGGTTCGAATCCGGGTAGTGAACGAAAAAATATTTCTTCTCTAAAATTGTCTCCTATCACCTCCTTTCCTGCTCTCTAGCAATGTTCTGTCGTCTGCTTTGCTTTCGTCTCCACTCTCTGCCCCCACCCCCAAAATTGAAGTGTTCAGAATGGTAGAGCTTCCTTCTTGATAGACCTCAACCCATTGGCGATGGTAAAGTTAACAAAAACAAAACATGTACATTAATGTATTTACATTTCTACACAACCATGT